TTGGTTTTCGCATTTGTTTAGCGTGTATATATACACATGAACATATAAACACAAATACGTTCATTCATTCATTCATTCATTCATTCGTTCATTCGTTCATTCATTCATTCGTTCGTTCATCCATTCGTTCGTTCGTTCATTCGTTCATTCATTCGTTCGTTCATTCATTCATTCATTCATTCATTCATTCATTCGTTCGTTCGTTCATTCAATCATTTGTTCATTCATTCGTTCATTCATTTATTAATTCGTTCTTCAGTTAATCCGTCATCAAAGTCAGCAGACCATCAATTCATCGATCAATGTTAAAATTCTTATATGTTTCAGAATTGGCTCTCTCTCTCTCTATCATTCATTTGTTTTTCATTCATTCATTCATTTAATAGATTATTAATTAATTAATTAAATAATTGATTCATTTATTTATTGATTCATTAATTTTTTTATAACATTCTTTAGTTAAAATAATTTAGCATAAATTTGTTAGAATCTTAACATCCATACTTTCATTTATTCATTCATTCATTTATTTATTCATTTATTTATTCATTTGTTTTTTTGTCCGTCTGTTCGTTTGTCTGTTTGTCCGTTTGTCCGTTCGTTCGTTCATTCATTCATTCATTCGTTCATTTTTTTTCTCCTCACTATCATATTTATTTCGAAATTTTTGTCTTGACCCTAACTAACCCAACCTTGAACTTTCAACTTCAACCTTTCAAGAGTTGGGGCGTAATAACGATATCATTAATAGAATTGTTGTGTCTGGTGATAAAGAGGGGTCGGCGGGTAATAAAGAGGGGTGGGTGGGTGATAAATGGTGGTGGGTGATAGATGGGGTAATGAGTGAACAATGCGGTAAAGAAAGAGGGAGTGAACAAAAATGAAATAAAGAATGAATGATAGGAGATTTTTTTTCAGTCGATATTTGTCATCTGCTGATGTTAATGACGTTTGAGTGAATGAACGAGTGAGATAAAACTGATGGATGGATGGATGGATGGATGGATGGATGAATAAAGGAATGAATGAATGAATAGACGAACGGTTAAATAAATAAATGAATAAATGATTGATTGAACTAACAAATCCCAAAAATAAATAACTAAAAAGAACAAAGCAAAATAAAGAACGAATCACTTTTTCCATTAAAATCAAAATACAATAGATTTTTCCCCCCTCCAAATTCAAAGAAAAACTTGAAGCAAGGCAAATGAATTGTCACGAAATTAAATCATTCGTCATTCATTTTCTGGTGGGGTGCGGATCTAACCAACCGTGCAGAAAAGAAGAATGATGACGTCAGCGATGGTGACGATGACGTCAGTGATGCTGCTGCTACGGCTGCTGCTACGGCTGCTGCTGCTGCTGCTGCCTCTGCTGATATGATAATGATGACGCTGCTGTTGGGAATAATGATAATAGTAGTAACGATAATTATAATGATGATGACGATGATGATGACGATGATGATGATGGTGGTGATGATTTTAATGAATATTTTGGTAATAGTGACAAAAATGGTGGATGTGATGTTGGTGACAGTTAAATGTAATGATAATACAAATAATAATATTAAGAATAATGCAAATAAAAATAATAATAATAATGATTTAAAAAAGATTGCCATGATTGCAACATTAACTGATAATAAAATCCTCATTCATAAAAGAGCAACAATAGTTAAGTAAGCTACACGAATGAAAAGCAACAAAAGCAGCAGCAACAACAACAACAGCAGCAACAACAACAACAACAGCAGCAACAACAATAAACAATAATAATGAGTACGTGACAGGTGGTAATAACGATAATAACACGTACGGGTCCAATAATGTCTTAATAAAACTTCCACGATACCATTTCGACATTTAATGAACCTAATGTCACAGGAAACGAAACAAAACAAAACGAAACGAAACGAAACTTTTACGTACAGACATACATACGCTCAAATGCATCGTACAAACACATTACGATTCGAATGCGGTCACTACATCATCAACGCCAACAGCTTTACCCACATTGCCACCACCAAAATGCGCGCGCTCACACACACAGACACACACACACACACCACACACACACACATACATACACACACATTATTAAACATAATATAGGTATTCTTTGCACAGATGTACAACGTATATATCTACAATCCCAAAAGCATATTATATGCTTATGCATGTGCCTGCCTGTGCAGCATAAGAGAGAAGGATAGGAAATAGAGAAATGGAAAAAAATAAAAACAGGGAAAAAAAAGAGAGAGAAAGAGCGAGAGAGAGTGTGTGTGTGTAAGAGAGAGAGAAATAGAGAGAGAGAGAAAAGGTGGGAGGAAAGTAAGATGAATCGTTTAGAAAAATAAAAATAAATTTTTAAAAATTTAAAAGAAAAATTGTATAAGAAAAATTAAGAGAAATAACTAGGTTTAAGGAAAATGAAAAATAGAAATTTAAACAAAAACATTCTTCCAGAAAGAAATATAAACAAACAGACATAGACAGACAGACAAAAAGACAGACCTGAAAAACGAAACATCACAAAGAGCCAGCCAGCCTAACTAGAGCAATAACTGTTGTCTGGCGTAGCACAAGGACCACAAATTACATTGACAATAATTAAGATCACGTGCTAGAGTTACGTCATTCGTCCATTTGTTAAGCGGCCATATTGATACGTAACGTAACTTTTTGCCGGAAGCAGGTCGAAATGCGTTTGGTCTTTTTTTTGCTCTGTTCGTGTGCGTGTTTGAATTTTTACGATGAATATTGGTTTTATTTTGGATTTATTTTTTCGTTATTTAATTTAATTTATAATGTATATTTATTTTTCATTTTACGTCCTTTGTTTACATTTACAAAACTTGTTTACATTTACAAAATTTGTTTACACTTACAAAATTTGTTTACCTTTACAAAACTTGTTTACATTATTCATTCTTTGTTCTCATTTCTATTCCAGATTATCGCATAACGTTCTGTGTGTATATTTAGATCTTTGTTTTGTTTATGACTGCGCTGAATCACAATGACGTCACACTTTTAATAAGAGCATTTCCGCTCCGGAATATGAATGAGGAAACATCTGACGCGACGACGACGACGATGATGGGTGTGATGATGAAAAGGATGATGATGATGAAAAGGATGATGATGATGATGATGAAAAGGATGATGATGATGATGATGAAAAGGATGATGATGATGATGAAAAAGATNGATGATGATTTCGTTGTTAATTCGTCTCA